TCCACTTTTAATATGTTCTGGTAAATTCACTTTAATTATCACATTTGAAAAGAAAAGAAAAGCTCCAGTTGAGGAAACCAGCTAATTTACTGGATTTTTCATTCAACCAGAGTGGGTGACACGTTCAAAAGAGCAAGAAATGAAAAATTGTGAATCTTTTCTCATCTTATGATACCAGTTTTTACTTTAATTTCCATACATTGAGTTGATCCATGGACGTAATTTTGGGGGGGGGACAGGGGGGACATGCCCCCCCACTTATTTCAAAGTCAAGTTTTGACCCCTGCACTTTTTACCATCCAAAAACAATATTACGCTATATTAAATTGACACTGATTGAGCTCTAAGACCAAGCGGAAAACAACTGTTTGTGTTGAAGCCTGTTTCCCATTAGAGCATACTGTAAAGATACCCCCCCCCCCCCCATGTCCCCCCCACTTCTAAAGTGAAAATTACGTCCATGAGTTGATCAAACTTTATTTTGGGTGGTGTTTTAATGTTATTGTTCCAGAATGTGCAGTTTTGTGTTTTTATTGCACCTGTCTCTGCTGCGCGTCTAACCGTTTGGCCTCTATCTGTTTAACAGATGCGATGCCAATCATTTAGATGAGCCCGAGCCGGTTCTGAGTCCACGCTGGACACCATCAGTCTGTTACAGGATGTGCTGCTTCTGGCTCCGGGAGCTTTGGGGGGTGGGTGGGGGGGGGTGGGGGGGTGGGGTGGGGGGGGGGGGGGGGGGTTCGGGGAAGAAATCAAGCAGAGCATTTTGACAAAGTGCACGTGAGCATCTTCAGCTATTTCTAACATCAAGCCCCCCCCCTCCCCTGTCCTCACTCTGTTTGCGTTGTTTTACCCTTTTTGCTTGGACTTCAGGTAATAGGAAATGGCACTGACCCCTCCTGATCCCCCCGATTACCTTCGTGAAGCGTGAATGTGGTGCAGAATCACACATCAGGAGATGTCTTGTAATTATTTCTGCGATGCCATCAGCATGGATCAATCACTCAGGGAGGCTGCTAGTGGAACGCCGCTCGCAGCCATGGACGGAGCCAGCAGCGGCCCTGTGTGACTGACAGCTTTGGTAATTAAGTGATTGTATAGACCCCACCGACTGTTATAACAACCTTGCCGGGGCCAGCCTGTGTTTGGAACACACTCATATCAGCGTGTTCCTCGCTTCTCGAGCATCTCTGATGGGGGCCCTCTGACAGGAGGAGGAGAGAAAGTCCACATTTAGATTTCCAGTGAATGTAAGCTGGAGCAGCAAAAAGGTTAAAAACACATGAAAACTGAGAAGTAAAGTTAAAGTGATTGTTTTAGCATTTTCATGTTTATTAGGGGAATATTAAAGCAAACCATCTCTTCATTAATAATATTACTATTGTTTATTATTGTTATTATTGTTGTTGTTATTGTTATGTATTATTATTTATTATTATCATCAACAACATTATTTTTATTATTATTATTATTATTATTATTATTATTATTATTGCATCTCTTGGGAGGCCTAAACATTGTGAACAGAAATCCCAACATTTACATAAATAGCAGTCAAAATGTCCACATTTTTTTAGGTTTTGAAAGCTGTGGTCAAATGTTGCCACAGCACCAGGTTCAGCCCTCTAGTGCACAGGTGTCCCAGTCCTCGAGGGCTGCTATCCAACATGTTTTACTGTTTTCAGCAGGTGATTAACAAACTTCTGCAGAGCTTGATGGGCTGCTGCACAGGTGAGTCAACTGTGTTGGAAACAACTAAATGACACAGGATACAGGACTGGAGTTTGACACCCCTGCTCTGTTTCTTTTCTTTTTTTTAAGTTTTCATTGAATCTGTGTGGTTATCGGTGGTGTACTGGAACATAAAACACATCACTGGACTCCAGTCCTTACACTGCCACCCACTAGCTGTGTATAGACTGGTACTATGTTTAGCCAAAGACATATTTCAGACAGAATGCAGGTTGCTTAGTTGATTTGTGAAAAACAGACAGAAAATTACATGTGAATAAAATCAAATTCGGATGAAGTTTCAAAATGTGCAATCATACTGATGAACAAACTGATCTAAAGGTTATTGTAATGTGTGGATGACGGGGATGAAAATGCATTCGCTCAGATCTGTAACATCTACATTTCTGGAATTTGGTGACACGTCCAGCGTGGCAGAGGTCTACAACAGTTTATTGACTTGTGTGATGAGCTAACTGGGATGTCAGAGTTCTGGTTAACATCGTCCAGGCCAGCTTAAAACAAACAATCTGCCAATTAGGTCATTTGGATTATAAAGGTGTGTGTGTGTGTGTGTGTGTGTGTGTGTGTGTGTGTGTGTGTGTGTGTGTGTGTGTGTGTGTGTGTGTGTGTGTGTGTGTGGGTGTGTGTGTGTGTGTGTGTGTGTGTGTGTGTGTGTGTGTGTGTGCGCCCGCACCATGTGTCAGGGATAGCCTTAGCAAAATTACATCTGCTGAAACGTCCTGCACTTAAAAGTGTTGTTGCACATTTTCACAAAACATTTTGGTGTACACATGTTTCGTTTCAAGCAGCTGATAGATCAAGGGGGTTCTTTTCAAACAAAAATAACTCAAATTATGTTTATATTTGATAACCAGAGCTTTGATTAAGCTAAACGAGTTGATAAAATAAATGGTAAACGGCCTGTTTTTGATATAGCGCCTTCTAGAGTCCTGGAACCCCCCAAGGTGCTTTACAACACAACAAACACACAATAAAAACACAATAAAGTTAAATAAATAAGATTGGATCATTACTCTATAAAAAATAAATAATGATAATTTAAAAAATGAGATTTTAAAAATGAAACTAAAAACCAAAAAACTCCATATTTACAGAAACGCGGGTGTTTCCTTGTGAAAACTTAAAAAACCTTAAACTCAACCCCCACCCCTCTCCAAGCCTTCGACGCTGTGTGTGTGTGTGTGTGTGTGTGTGTGTGTGTGTGTGTGTGTGTGTGTGTGTGTGTGTGTGTGTGTGTGTGTGTGTGTGTGTGTGTGTGTGTGTGTGTGTGTGTGTGTGTGTGTGTGTCGGTGACAGCTTCCAGACCCGACGCGGACCCCGTTCTCCGTCCCATCACCGACCATCGGCTGGAGCCAATACCTCTACTGGTCCCAGTCCGCTCCTGCGGAGCCCCAGACCTAATGTAATAAGGACATCGATTGCGCCAGTTTGCTGTGGATGCGCAACCCGCGCGCCTCTCCGCACACTGACACGTTTAAACATCGCATTGATCTGATGTTAATGTTTTGCGCTTTAGAAAGGAGGGTCTGGTTTATTACAGACTGGAGCTTGATTCTAATTGGCTGCGCGGATAAAACGCGCAGGGGCTGGTTGGCTCATAAGATCTGGTTTCTGACTGTCGCCAGGCTTCATCACATGTCGATAAGTGTTTAGGAGTGAGCTGGGTTGGTGAAACGTCTGATCGTAGATAAAAAAAAAGGCCTCAGCTTGACTTAAATTACTCTCAGAGTTTGGCTCGCTTTGTCGCCGCCTCGTGGTCAGATTATGTCATCGCCTGCGGAGAGAAGAGAAAATATTCAGGTCTGGTCAAAAGATTAATAACAAACACTTAATTAAAATTAGGTGATAAATGTGTTACATATAGAAATTAAAACAAATGTGTTTTAATTTAATTGTTTAGGAATGAAGAAGGACCACAACTGTAAATAATTATATTCATCAGTAATACATTAAAAATAAACATATAACACGGTCGATAAACGCATCACGTCAGTTGTATTTAAAATTGGTTTAAACGTTTTGTTGTTTAAATAATATTGTTTAATCATAATAACCTACATGGTTGTAAAAGCGCAAGGAATTGCCTGAAATTGTTGACCTAATGTTGGAAAACTGTAGGAATAATAAATATTTTTTTTACATACAACAAAATAAAATGAAGTAAAACGGAGAACCCAGAACAAACCAAATCGTGATTTTTCATCCAGAATCTTACCTTCAACCTACTCGAGGAAAAAAAATGGAGACACGAACGATGCTCGGGGATTTATTTTCTACAAATTCAAGTAAAAAATTAAACACGAGCGGGAAGCGAGAATGAAGAATCAGCGGCTCCTGAAAAGTCTCATCCCATCAGCCGGAGAGCAGCTTCCCAACTGCAGCAGCTGCGCAATTTTATTTTTCCTCTAAATTATCTTTATTCATTTTTTCCCCTTCAACATCATTCAAAACACAATCGGGAGCGGAGAAAGTGCTGAATTTCCTACTACCTTTGAACGCTCATTAGCGCCTCGTAATTACTTTACTAATTAGGGTGACATGGTTATTAACAACATGTGCTGTCATGACAGTCACCGCTACCTCCCCCCTCCCTCACCCCCTCACCCACTCTTTAATAGGCCGACCTTACCTGGATCTCCCGCGTGCTGGATCTTCTTGGAGCAGGTGTGGGTTTTCAGGATGCCAGGTCCGAGCCCGAACGGAGCTGGAGCCATCAAGCAACCATTTAAACTCTTAATTACAAATTCAACCCGTCTTTTCAAAATATTCAGGATTTATTAAAACTAAATATTCTTATTTAATTAAATCAATTTTAATTTTCTTGAAAGGGAAGAAAAGTCGAGCTCCGTGCTGTTCGGATGATTAAAAATCTCAAATAAATAAATAACTACATTTTTATATTAAAACTAAATAAAACGTCCCTACCTTGGCCTTAGCGCGTGTGTGCATTTTCCCTCTTTTTTATTTTAAGAACGGAGCAGGAGATCCTAAACTCGGTGCGTGTGAATCAAGAACAAGCTCTCCTATTGGCTGGTTCCCGGAACCGGTCCGGATGCAAGCCAATGGCGGCAGGGTAGGGGAAAGGTGGATGGGTGGAGGGCGAGAGAGAGAAAAGGGCGTCGAGTGTTTATTATAAAGGAGAAAATATTAATTCCCCCCCCCCCCTCGCCGTGGGCCGTGACGTCAGTACAGGAAGTCATTGTGGAGCAACACTGGAGCGATTAGCGGCAAAAAGGGGGAGCCTGATGTCGAGGAGTCAGCCTGAGTATATCTCTCAATGCGCCTCAACTTTTAACGCAAAGTTCAATATCCAAACAGAAAAAAGGGACGAGGAGGACGCAGGCGCACCTGGCTCAGGCTGGCTGAATGTAGCGCACCGGACTGAGGATTTTCTGGCTTTATTCATCACAACTTACCCTTTTCCTCCTAAAACAGGGGTTTTATTTAACTGAGCAGTTTTCTTGAGTTTCGTTTGATCGGTTGATTCGTTTGCGCGCCGCGGGAGAAGTGTCTGACTGATGTTATGAAGACCTCACTCATCCTCTCTTAACATGGAAGGATCCAGCGGGTCGAGTTTTGGGATAGACACTATTTTATCCAGCGCCTCGAACTCTGGCAACCCCGCGCCGATGAACGGAGACTTCCGGCTCAGTGACGGTAGGACACCGGATTTCAGGAGCCAGGCAACCCCGTCGCCATGCTCGGAGATCGATACCGTGGGAACGGACCCCTCGTCTCCCATCTCGGTCTGCATGGAGCACGGCGCCGACGCGCATCTGGTCCAGGACAGCCTTCAGCATCTCCACCACCACCACAGCCAGGCGCAGGGATTGGCGCTGTCACCTCAGCAGCAGCAGCAGCAGCAGCATCTCGCCGGGGCCGGCTGCGCCCCGAGGACTGCCACCTCCTCGTTTTTAATCAAAGACATTCTGGGCGACGGGAACAAACCGCTGGCCGCCTGCGCACCTTACAGCACCAGCGTGTCCTCGCCCCACCACACACCAAAACCAGAAAGTGCCACGGCTCCGGACGTTTTCAGGCCCAAGTTGGAACAGGAGGAGAGCAGGAGCAAGTTGGACAAAAGGGATGAGATTCAGAGCGAAATGAAATGCAACGGTAAGAGTGGGCCATCACTTACTTATAGAATTATTGTTTTGCAGAAAACTCACTTTAGCTGCGTAAAAACAAAATTAAATGCTGCCAGAATTTTTAATAATAATAATAATTATTACAATAATAATAATTAATTATTATATGCGTGTATTAGTGTAATAGATGTGAAAACAGATGTAAGCTGGTGATCCTCCCAGGCCTCCCTTGTGGGTCAATTAGAGAGATTATTGTTCTTCCTGGAGGGGGATCATGGCGCGCTGAAGCCCGGCTACAAATAGAGACGGATTGATATATTGATGTCTCGTTTTCTGAAAGAAAAGGAGGGAAATTCTCCAGGTGACGAATCACCAAAAGTTGTAAAGAGAGGGAAGTGTGTGAGCTGATTAAAGTTAGCGCGTGCACGTTCTCAGATAAACGAAGAAAGATGAACAAGCGCTTATTTAAATGGGAGGACGTTTTTTTTTTTGGAGTTGATTGCTTCACTTTGCTCTTAGGCACTAAAGAAGAAGGTGACCGAGAAATCTCCAGCAGCAGAGACAGTCCACCTGTGCGCACGAAAAAGCCCCGCAAAGCAAGGACAGCCTTCACGGACCATCAGCTCAACCAGCTGGAGAGGAGCTTCGAGAGACAAAAATACCTCAGCGTGCAGGACCGCATGGACCTGGCGGCGGCTCTCAACCTGACAGACACTCAAGTCAAGACCTGGTACCAAAACAGACGGTAGGCACCCACCACCCCTATTATTATTATTATTATTATTATTATTATTATTATTATTATTATTATTATTATTATTATTATTGTTATTATTATTATTAATGTATTTTTTATCTAAAGTTAAAAACAAAAAAATCCCATTTCCTCTTCCTGTAATTGTCCAGAACTACTTTGGGACAAGCTGGTTAGAAAAAAATGAAAAAAAAAAAAATTAAATAAAGAAATAAAACTCTTTTAAATTTTTCAAAAATAAATAAAACAATTTCCTTCAAATTGTTACATTAATATTCTCTCTAATCGTTGTTATAGTTCCCTAACTGTCGCGCCCAAAAACAAGGAAGTGATAAAAATAAACAACAGACTTACATCCGAAATCAAGTTGTTTCTAAAAATATTTGATATTTAATTTTTTTGAAAACATATAAATAAATATGTGAAAATGGAATAAATTGAGCTTCGTGTCTAAAATGCATCTTAATTTTTTTTAATTTAGGGATTTTATAAACCTTAAATGATCCATAATTTGGGTTTGTTTCGCAAATTTAATTGAGATTAAATCGCGTTCTTTTTAACCACGTGTCTATACTTCTTGTTTTCCATCTGAATCTAAAGTAATTCAGAAATAATGACTCAAAATTTCAATATTAACAAAACTTCAGGAAAGCCAGTTAAATTTGAAGTTTATCCTAGAGCAGCTCAAAGACATTAAAGCAAGCATATTTTCCTTCTGCCTAACTGAACCCTGCCGTTTATTCATGGCTGTAATAATTAGGCCTCTGTATCCCAATTAAAGATGCGTTCAGGGACTCGGAATCCAGAGAGACTGAATAATTCATGCGCTGTATTTTGATCTGGTTCCAGGACGAAGTGGAAGAGGCAAACGGCGGTCGGTTTGGAGCTTTTGGCGGAAGCAGGAAACTACTCGGCCTTACAGAGAATGTTCCCCTCGCCCTATTTCTACCACCCGAGCCTGCTCGGTACCGTGGACAGCACGACGGCGGCTGCTGCGGCCGCAGCCATGTACAGCAGCATGTACCGGACTCCCTCCGCGCCACACCCCGGCCTCCAGAGACCTCTAGTCCCGAGGGTGCTCATTCACGGCCTTGGGCCAGGGGGACAACCGGCGCTAAACCCCCTCCCCGGCACGCCGCACCCGCGGTAGAGCACATAAACTCAGACGCAAATGGATGGTGTGCGTAACGGGACGCGCTGCAGGTCTCCACTCCAAAACACGTTCAAAGACATTCTGCAAAAAGAATCTAAAGGAGGTATTTAATACAGGCCCGGTTCTCTTGAAGACTCCGAGTTTGGGTCCAGACAGACGGGACTGCTCATGTCTGATTGTTTGTTTGTTTGTCTTTTGTACAAATACACTTACATTAGTAAATAAACTTATAAAGTTTATTAGATGGAGAAGAAGTTGAATGAATAAAGACGTAACGATACTAAAGGAACTGTAGACGCTTCTATTAAATCTTGAACCCAAATTCAAACAGTCGGAGCCAACTGGGCCAGCATCAATTATTTAAATCCTGATTTATCATTAGCACAATTTAACATGTTAAGATGATCATTTATAGGCAAAAAGATGCACATTCAGAATTTTTAATTTTTTTTTTCAATTTACAATTAAATAAAATTGTAGCTTCCTAAATGTTTCCGATTTTAAACAGAGCCGAACCCAGATAGCTGAAGGCATCTGATTAGTTCCCGCAGCATATGGTCTTTAAATCGGGCGATCCGGACCCGGTGATCAGGGACTGGAGGTCACCTTGCAGCCTTTCTGTCGCTGTTTACCAGCACGCATGCATATGGATGCGCAGCAGCTGATTGGTGGCGGCCTGAATGGTCCCGACGAGTCCGGCTGCACTGGGAATGTGGCCTTGGCTCCACAGCTGTTCCCTGGGAGCGCAGCAGACAATAAGCCTGAAAGTCTCCTCAGCCCACGAGGATCAAGACAAGACGCTATCAAGAAAGTGTCGGTGGTGGTGGGGGGGTGCGGGGGTGTGGGTGTAGGGGGTGCATGGTGATAATCTGCTGCGTTCAATAGCCGTTAGTGAACTTGTTTTAGACTTTTTTTAGGGACGGGTGGGGTGGGGTGTGTGTGTGTGTGTGTGTGTGTGGGGGGGGGGGGTGGGGGGGTGGGGGTGGGGGTGGGGGGGTGTTACCTGACCTTCATTGCGCTGAAAATTTTAGTTCTAAGTCCTGCGCCAGTTGTGCTCGTTTTCCAGGTCATATTTTCTGTAGCCTAATTAAAAACACGAGTTTCCAAGAACCCAAATAAACGCCCGACGTGAGATCTTATTAAAAATCTTTGATTTTATTTGGCCTCCTGAAGCGCGCAGCCCTGGAGAATAAAACGCAAGCGGATGGGGAGGGGGGTGGGGGTGGGGGGTGAATTATCGCCTCAGGCTGCGTTTGTTTACGTTACTTCTTTTTATTTCTACAGAGAGACAAAATGACCTTTGGTGGAGCGCGGCGCCGAGAACCTCCACATCTCGGGCTGTGTTTTATTCTAAACGAGCTGAAATCGTGTTCGCTGCCACTGGTGACGATCTGGCGCAGGGAGGAACGAGTCAAGACGCAGTTTTGCGGGGCCTTTTATTTGCGGGTCTTCTTCTGTGTGCAGAATCCTGCCAACAGCCCGGAACATATGACAGCAGCAGTGTGACTTTGCCAGAGGAAGCAGCAGCTCTGCGGGCTCAAGCGCAGCTCTGCTTTAAAGCTCTGAACACGTGTTAGTGTTGCCTGTTTAAGCCACCCGCGTTTGGGCAAAACTCAGCGAGCAGTCTGGTCTTTGAGACGCCCTTCAATTACAAAAAATAACACATTATTATTATTATTATTATTATTATTATTATTATTATTATTACGCCTTACGCACGACAACATCCGGGCCTCTCTCTGAAAACCAGAGGCTGTCCCACCACCCCGACCCCGCAGCTTCCACCCATTACCGCTTCTCCGTGCCTGTTGTTCATATGCATGACTTCTGCAGCATTATTTATTTATTGCACTCCGAGGGTGGGAGGGGTGGGGGTGAGGATGGGGATGGGGGGGCTTGTTTCCAATTCATTAATAATAATCTGAGCTTTACAGAAGCGTTGCATTAATAAGCTGCTGCCGTCTGGGTTTAAACAACCCAGCGTGGGTTATTTAGATGATCCTGACTGGTGTCAAATCCTGACCAAACACCCAGAATGCTGACAAAATATCAGAAAAATTAGCCCAAAATATTTGTGTTATTTTGAATGTGTTTATTTTAATAACATTTTGCACTAAAATACATAAAAATGTGTTTAAAACCACTTAGTTTTACTTCTGACCCACTAAACTATTATTTGTCAGAAATCAAAAAATAGAAAATGAAAAGTAAAATAAATGAGACACATAAACAGTTTTCACTTCCTTTATATTCATCAGTTTTAAAGCACAATTATATTATAATTTTTTAAATCTATGAAATCAACAAAACAGCGACCTACAAAGAGGCCCCAGCCCCAACACTGAGACCCAGTAGTTATTAAAATAGAAAAAGCTAATTTTACATGTAGATAAAATTATAAAATCATTCACAACTACATAAATAATTCTTAGTTTTTCCATTAAATACAGGTTAATGGCATTTTCATCTTAATGAATTAAAGATGTGGGCGTGACTTTGGTATTATGTTTACTTTTGTTTGATGAGTTATTTATTTAACATGTTTAATTTCTGGAACCTTTTATTGTTGAATTGGATCAGTTTAAATGACCCAGATTTGGGTTTTTCTTTCCAACTCTCATTTGGGTAGCTTAACGGTACATTTAGGTCATTTTAGCCCAATTTAAGGGTAGAAAACACAACCCAACCCGCTGGGTCAAACCCATCAACCAACCCTGCTGGGTTAAAATAGCCCAAGGCTGACTCGGTCCTTTTCTCATCACGATCTTGGAATACAAAGCAACTCAAATTGGATTTATTGTAACCCAGCAGTTTTTAGTGTGAGCACATTAGTAAAACTTTACATTTATGACCAACTTACTCAAAAAAAATGCATCCATTTTAACTAAAGCAACCCAGAAGTTCAATGTACCTCCTAGTTTTTCAATAATCCCTTTATTAGTTTCATAAAATATGCAAATTTATGCACTTGTGCACTTGCACAACTTTAAATGTACAAAACAAATGACTGGAGAAAAAACATCAATAATGTCATTAAATCCATTCATTACTATGAATTAGAAAAAATGGAAGAATTCTGTCTTAAAGTCGGATTTTTGCAGTTTGGGAAGCAGAGTATGAAAAAGTATACTCAGTATGAGAAATTCTTGGTAAAACACGATCATTGGTGGAGAAAAAGAAAAAAAAGGTAGCAGACCTGAAAGAAGAGGATTAGGCCTTTCTTTAACATGGTGCATATTATCCAGAACAGATGGGCTTTAGAGAGCCGTTCTCTTCCTCCTCTTGCCTCGAGGAACCTTATTGGGGACTTTAATTGCCACTTTTTCCAACTGATGTAATGGTGGGATATCTTTTTCATTACAATAATGAGGTAACACTTGCTCTCCTTGGCCTCTCGTTATCACATCTCCTACATCAGTCACTAAACACCAAATTTAACCCCCCACCGTCCCGCCTCCAAAGGAAAAACAATCGTTGCTCTGAAGTTGTGCGTGCATCTGTTTATCAAGAGTCTGCACATCGCCAGGTCCGTTCATCAGCAAGGCTGCAGGAACAGGTAGTTGTAGACGGTGAGAGTGCAATCCGAGCAGGAAGTCGGTGGGAATTTTTGAATCTAAAACAAGTAAATTAAATGTCAGAAAGATGCGATCCTTGAAGAATTTTCACCAACTTTGCCCTAAATCAGCATTTAGCTCCAATGGGTTTGTTGTTCCTAAAAACTCAACTAGACGAAAACAATTCTTCATAAAAAGCAAACGTCTTATAAAATTAATCTCACACAACATAAACGTAAAACACTAACTATATAATCAATCAATCAATCAATCAATCAAAGCTTTATTTATAAAGCGCCTTCCGCAACCCTGTCAGGAAGCCCAAGGCGCTGAACATGGTACAGTACAAAGTCAAATAAAGTGAATAAATCGGAAAATAAAAGCAATTCAAATTACAAATTACAAAAAAGGTGAAACATTCTAGTAGAAGACAAATGTGTAAAACAAGGGAAAAATTAAACTAATGAAAACTGTGAGATAAAATCAACATAAATGACAGCCTAACTCAAATACATTCAGGGAACGCCAAGTGGAGGAGGTGGGTTTTTAGGCGACTCTTAAAGACTGGCAGAGATGGGGACAGCCTAACTGAGGGTGGCAACTGGTTCCAGAGTGACGGTGCTAGGACTGAGAAAGCCCGGTCCCCGCGAGTACGACACCTAGAACGAGGGACAGCGAGCAGGCCTTGGTCAGAGGAGCGCAGAGCGCGTGATGGGGAATGTCTGTCCAGGAGAGTAGCCAGATAGGGGGGAGCACCACCCTGGAAGAAATTAAAAACAAAGACGAGGAGTCTGAAGTGTGAACGATAGCGAACCGGAAGCCAGTGCAGGGAGGCCAGAACCGGACTGATGTGGTCCCGTTTCCTGGTTAAAACAAACAACAGAGATTACTCTGTTGCACCGTCACTCTGGAACCAGTTGCCACCCTCAGTTAGGCTGTCCCCTTCTCTGCCAGTCTTTAAGAATCACCTAAAAACACACCTCCTCCGCTTGGCGTTTCCAGAACATGTTTGATTTTGCCCCTCTATTATGTTGAATCCATTCCACAGTTTTCATTGGTACACTCAATCCATCCACTCAATCCAAATGTGTCTCACACATTTGGATTTTACCAGAATGTTTCACCTATCTTGTAATTTCCATTTTGTATTTTGTAATTTGAATTTCTTTTATTGTTGATTTATTCAATAGAATTACTTACAACTGTTCCATGTTCAGCGCTTTGGGCTTCCTGACAGGGTTGCGGAAGGCGCTTTATAAATAAAGCTTTGATTGATTGATTGATTGAGATTCTCTTTTATCTTTATTCTGACTAAATTGATCCAGATGAGGCTCACGGGCTTTTATTGCAACACGAACGGTATTTTTGCTCACGATTCAACCACTTCCCACGATACCTGAAGAGAGGAACCACCACAGCGTCACACGTCCTCTGATCCATCAGTGATGGAAAGTGTTTGTGACAAATAGTCCTTCATGCTTTTCTTTAACTAATAATACTGCAACAGTTTAGATGGTAAGAGCTCAGAGTGAATCAATTTGGAGATTGTAAGCCACCTTCTCCTCACCCCTACAAACACCGCGGCTCAGCTCGCAGCTGAGCCTCGACTAGCGTGGACATCTGCTGCAATCCTGGCTGAATGATGCCATACAGCAGCGACATATCATAGTTTAAATGGCCTCATCATTTCAGCAAATCCAGCCAGTTTCCCTCTTCTTTTTCGTCAAGTGACAGG